GGGAGGAGGTTAGAAGTGGTTGAGCAGCATTTTTGTATTGTTTGTGTGCAACTTATCTGCCATAGGGGCTTATTTATACAGAGCTGAACCATGGGTCATATTTCAACATAGAGTTTATTTAAATACAGGCTGAAAACATGTTTACAATAGATGAACATGTTTTACCTTGCTCATCTCCTCTCGCTCCTCTGCGTGCATCCAAATGGGCTTATTTTCAGCTAAAGACACAAATATGAAAGGTTTGTACAAAGTTGTAAACCAAAATATACAGCTCAAAAACAACAATACTGAAAATAAGATGCTTAAGAGTGAAATATACATTACATCTGAAATAAAAGACCTAACAGTGAAATTACAAGATGAACTGTAAATCAATATTGAAATTAAAAACTGGAACAAACCATAATGTAAACCCTTCATGAATCATTAACTATGAACTAAACAACAATACGCAAGATGGATGATAACTTCCCCTCAGTACCTACTGTTATATTAAAAACAAACAAAAATGGCAGGGACATTGTCTAAACTAGGTTAACGGAAACTAGGAACTGTTGTATAAGTTAGTACCGTATTTAACATTAATTAACCAAAGTTGAAGATAAAAATATATACATGTATTGACCATCAACTTGACTTTTCTGAGGACATTTAACTATTGCAGGAAAAAAGCAGAGGAAATCTTTAATTATATCTTCTGTAGCTCTGGGTCTTCTGGTCAAACACTGCTTAGAAAATGGTCCACTTTTGAACTGTCTGCTCATCACTGCTCTCTAGGAGAGACACATTATGGATGATCAGACAATTGTATCAAAAATTATGAAAAAACACATCCACTATTTAACATGTTGCCTTCATGATATAAACTATGATGATGTCAAACTTCAGTTGGAGAACAACAGCTAATATTGTTAAAGGGAGATACAAATTTTAGGGCTGCAATAGTTTCAGTTTGTATAATCAATCAGCGTTTGACATGTTTGTATTTGTAATGTCTTTACCATCCACAGAGCCAAACTCCTTCTCATGGGCGCGGGTCAGTATCTCTTTGTAGAGGATCTCAGCCTCCTTGTATTTGCCCTGTTTGAGGAAGCAGGATGCCTGTGGATGACAAATGGACAGAAGACGGAGAGAGGGGAGAGAGGGGAGAGAGGGAGAGAGGAGAGAGGGACGGAGAGGGGGGGAGCAGTTTAGTATTGGATGAGATGAACCCATTGACTCATAATGCGTCTCGTAGGGCGGTCCTCCTGTAAAACTAGCAGCCAATGAAAAATGACACAATGAGATTCCAGAGCATCATGACAAATGTCTCTGTCATCAAAGTGAAAGAGGAAACCAAGAAGCAGAGACTGGAAAATGGAGACTAAATATGTTATTTTCTGGACCACTGCAATACATCAAGCCAGCCTCTTGTCATGATACCAACCCTCTGCATATGTTTGTTAAATTGTAGATATTTTTTGCCAACTTGCAACTTTTGTAACTGGTAATGCAAATGGGTTTGCCAGAGTGAAACAAATAGCTTCCACCCAAGATAAACCATGGTTAAAAATGCTTATTTCAGTCTATCTAGTTGGTAAACTTGTTAAATGAAAATGCAACAAATTCTCAACTGATTGCATTTATAAGGATAAATTATGTTTGCAGGGTTCCCACTCTTTTTCACTGACAAAATGTCAAAACATTTCCATGATTTTTCATGACCTAAAATTAATTTTCCATGACTTTACGACACCCTGCATGTGTAGAATTGATCACACTTTTATGGCTAAATATGAAATGTTAACCTTTTCCACTCACCTTATGGTTTGGTATTATAGTTTTTAACATTCAAAATACTGTCAATGTATTTAGTGTCGTTTCTTTTAAATAAAAGTTCAGAAATAATCATAATAGCCTAATGATGACTTAACAGAACACTGTAGTTGCGTGAAAAAGATACTAAAATTCCATGACTTTTCCAGGATTTCCATGACTGTGGGAACCCTGTTTGAATACATTTTATTTTAAAGTGTAGTTTAAATGTTAAATTGTAAATCCTTGCATCTATACATTTTATCTGCACTTAACCATAAAATCCACAAACCAAATGAACGATAACCCCCTCACCAGGTTGTTCTTGGTCTTGGCCACGTTGGGGTCGTCTGGTCCCAGCCTGCACTCGTAGATCTCCAGTGCGCGGCAGTAGTAGTACTCCACCTCCTCGTACTTGCCCTGGTTCTGGCACAGCAGAGCCAGGTTGTTCAGCTGTTTGGCCACGTCCGGGTGGTCCTTTCCCAAAACCTGACAAAAAACAGAAATTCCAGTATAAGGACATGGATGCTGGGAGAGGGAAAAAGGCAAGAACAATAAAGAACAAACAAACACTTCTATGATTTACAATTGAAGTTTGGTGGGAGCAAAATATTTAACTCCCAACACAATGCTGCAAAAGTTTAGAACACTATAAATATGAATGGGCGATATATTAGTTCCAGTATTGGTATAGGCTGGTATCAATATAAGCCAATATCTCCATTCGATACCATTTTCTGCCCCAACAGACGTATGAGTCAAAATGGAAAAAGAGAAGTGTTATATGGCAGTATGTTTACACTAACATGTAACAAATGATTTTAGATTCTAGATAAATACATTTTGTTATTATTTTTACAGAAGTGAAAAGTTAATTATTGATCTTTACTTCATTTTAAGATAAGTTGTTGGCCTTGTTATGGATTTTAAAAGCTAAACACAGCAGAAGGCCAAAAGTAGACATAGGTATTAGCTTAAAATAAATAAAATCCATATCAGCCCATCCGTAATTATAAACATTTCTCCTCACGTCTCTTCCTTCTCTGTGCTGCGTTCTTGTTTGCTGCTCTCTGTTCAGATCTTATAAATCCCCCGATCGATGCTTGAATACACAATCACATTTACAGGAACAAACTCACTGAACCTCGTTGCACTGTCTCTCTGCCTCCTTTGCTTCATCCTTTGCTCTCAATTAAACCTTATTTGACACAGGAAGATCCCCCAGCGACGACTCACAGCCAATTTAAGCAGATCATTTTCACCCTGGATATTTTTAGCTGGTCTTGCTACAGTATTTTAGCAGTAACTTTTAGACAGTTCAATTTGTTCAGAGCTAATTGTCACTTATGTGGACCAGGGACCTACCTTCTCTCTGATCTCCAAAGCTCTCTTGCACAAAGGCTCTGCTTCCTTGTATTTCCCTCTCTTTCCGTACAGCACAGCCAGGTTGTTCAGTGTCGCAGCAACCTGAAAGTGAAAGAAAAAAATTAAGGCTTGAAACTTTTGTCAAATGAATTTTATATTATGAAGGAGTTACATCATGTGGCATTTTACAAGCTTTAGAGTACATTTGCAATCCTCTGCTTTTGCTGATGAAATTACTATTAAATTCAATCCAGTCATTTTCTGGTAATAAATTCAAATAAATACCAATTTTGCATTTTGTGTTCATATCTTCTATCACAGTTTTACCCATCTTTAACGTCATAAAATGCATTGACAAATTTGTGGCAATGGAAGAACACGCAAAAATGACATATGATATTCATGTTAATATTAAATTTTAGCTGCTCCTCGTCTGTATTCAATATTATAACAATAAAATGTTGTGATGTAATCTGAAACCCAGCAAAGGACCAGGCTGAGAAACAAGTCAAATATTTCCTCTTACACCAAGATCATCTGAAAGTCAAGAACTATTGACTTTGGTTAATCTTGAACTATCTTGACTTTAGTTAATCTAATCAGTAAACTAGATTGAGCATGTGTTTGCAATGGTGTATGTACAGTCTTAAATCAACTAAATCCTTTTGACAAACCACTAACTAATCTTTGCAGTTGTAGTAACTGCATCAGTTTCAGATATTTTAGTGTGTAGATATATATCGAAATGACAAAATGCTTTGCTGTGCTCCATGGAGATGTTCAAAGTATGACATTAAATTTATGTATCTCAAAGGATACAAGTAGGTTGTGCCACCAAGCCAAGTTACAGGTCAGATTTGTGGAGAGGCAAGCCCACTCACAATAAAAATGCATGTTTCGATAGTACACAATGCACAAATGAAAACTGCATTACATTAAATATAGAACTGTGGCATTATTGTTTGTATCATGTTGCTGTTGAAAAATCAAACAGTTTTTATCTTGCCACAAATCAAAGCAAACTCAACCTTGCGAGATCAGAGGGAAAACACCATTTCAACAGAGCTGTCAGTGTTTGTGGGGAAAAAATATTCGCTCAAAAAGGCAGTACAATATGGCAGATTTGTGTATTTGTATTTGTATTTGTGTAATGGAGTGATATGTTTCCAATAGATTTTTAATAGCTCATGTTGTCAGGAGCAGGAAAACAGACTGCATTAATAGCATTTTTATTGATCCAGTCCTCGGGGATTGCGAAGCAGCACTAACTAGACACTAACCTCACTGAACCGGCCAAATAGATATATATGTTTCCATGGTAACGGAAGAGTTGAAAACAGGGATGGGGGTTGATAGCCCAGCTGAAATGTGTAGGGCTATCTGGGCACCAAAAACAGTTTTACAATATTTAAAATGCTAAAACTGAAAACTCACCATTTACAAAGCTTGCTAATCATTGCACCTACATTTTTGTGATCAGATTATGCTATGGTTGCCATGGAAACGGGAGCAGACTTACCGCTGGGTGGTCTTTGCCCAGAGTCTTCTCCCGGATGGACAGAGCATCGTTCAGCAGATGGGCCGCCTCTTTGTATTTGTTCTGGTCTCTGCACAAGAACAAGAGAAAAGAAATCAATATATGATCAATAAATGGATTGAAATTCAGCAGTTTTGATTTCTGCAAAGTGTCGGCTCTTACGGAAAACACAGGATCCGAAAGATTATAGGAATTAGACAGATGGTCAGTTATATGTACCCAAAATTACTGAGTTTATTTTCTGGCCTTTTTAACATTTTATTTGGGGAAAAATAATGTAATTCTGGGCATATCTACATGATTCATTGGAAAACGGTCTATTGTACTATTGTTTTAGCAATTATTTAGCAAATATCTTTTATCTTAAGTAAAACTACAAACTCCACCTGTAGACCAGAGCCAAGATGTTGAGCATGGTAGCCACATCGGGGTGGTCGTGTCCAGAGGTCTTCTCCAGATCCTCCAGGGCCTGTTTGCAGAGGGGCACGGCCACCTCGTAGCGTCCCTGTGAGGCGTACTGGATCACCAGGTTATGGAGGGTCCGGAGACGGGCCGGGATCTCATAGCCTCCCTGCTGAGCTGCTGCCACCGCTGCGCTGTTGTGTTGGTGCTGCACTGTGAAGGCAAATGAAATACATGCTACAGTATTTACACAACCCAACCTGGATCTATTCTTTAGGAAATGTGGAGTCCATGAAATTCCAATGCACCCATACATTTATCTCATTACAGATAGTAAACAATCAATAATCCCATTTTATTTATGTGGGCAGAGCAAATGTAGAGCATCAGATTATGTTTACTCATTCAAATAAATGTGTGGTTATTCATTCACGGTATACATAACAAGGGTAATTTATACAGTAGATAAAAAGAGACATATAAAAGATAAAGGATGTCAAAAGGAGGTTAGTTGCAAAAGAGGGTCCATATACTCCTTTAAAGAGGCCCTGCAATGGGTTACCTCAGCCTACCTCAATTCCTATTTAACCAGGGAATTCTGCAATAACTTTAGAAATTACACACATACTATACAAGTTTAGTAGTTAGCCAAGACAAAAATTGTATTCCTTCATGTATGGATAGTGGTAGATAGTCTTTATTCAACTTTTCAATATGTTTTGTGTTGTTTAAATGTTGCCAAAAATATTATAAATGTTCTTACTTCCTTGTCCCTGATCCTCTTCATCGTTGGGGAACAGATCGTCCAGTGAGTCCTTGGGTGTCTCCTTGTCTTTCTCCTCCTGCTGCAGAAAAAAAGGCCATTCATTATTTTGACAGACGCGACGACACTGTGCTATTATCCAAAATTATTCACACTACAAACAATGACAAGTTTGACAAATGATGCACAAATTCACACCGACGCGTCTAACCTCCTCAGAGACCGTGACGAGGCAGTGACTCATGTTTACACAATCATACTGACATAATCTGAAAGCACTCATAACAGGAAATTACCGGACTGAAGCTTTATAAATATTTTGATTAGGTTTTTATAAGACAATGCTCATGTTAGTATTGTTAAAAGAACAATTCATTTTTTCTACATTGCGGCTGACATTGCAGACAAAAAAGTGAAAGCAATTTTAAAACCTGTCCTAAATGTAGACCAAAAATGTAAAAAAGGATTATTGATACTTGATTGATTGATATTGATACTGCAGCTCTGCATCTAAACAGGACCATTAACATCTGTATTAATCACAGAAAATGTGTTGTTTAAATCAATTCTGTATTTTGTTTTCTTGAGTTTTCAGACCATCTTAAAACTTTTGATAGTGTTGGCTTATGTGTGTATTGCGTTTCCATGGCAACTGCTGAACATTCCACTATAGAGATACATGTACAACACCCTCGACAAGATGTCACTGCAAGAGTATAGTGGCACTTTCTTAATCCAGCATTAAAAAGTGTGGATTTTGTCACACACAAACGTGTCTTGTGTAATCTTGTTTGGGCACATTTCAAAGGTATTACTTAGATTTCCTGCATAATTTATGGTGGACATGTTTTTTTTGTTTTTTTTACAGATACATTTGTGAGTTGGGACCTGTTTAGATGATGTGATGATTTAGTCCAAACACTGATCAATAAGGATTTGCCTTAAAATGACTTTCCAGGAAACAAGAAACCGCAAGCATTCATATCTAAGATCATATAACATTTAAATGCATGGGTCTCTTAAGATGGACAGACAGATAAAGAAGTCTACAATTGGGATTTTGATTACTATTGGCATTATTCCTTCAAACAGGGAGCAATGGACTTTTGATATTTATTTGATATGACAGATTTATAAAGCAGTTTTAATATAGTTCTTAGAGCATCTTGTATCCTCACTAAAGCCATAACATCCTATTATAGGTTTTATATGTCATATACAACGAAACTTAATATTTTTAGTTGAGAACTGGGTCTAAGGCTGCTTGATTATGGAAAAAGTCATTATCACGATTATTTTGTTCAATATTGAAATCACGATTATTCAGCTGATTATTTTTTAGTTACATGATGCATTTATTCAGCATTTGTTACTGAAAATTTATGCAAAACATTCAAATTCTAAATAAATACAGGCTACAAATATGTACCTTAGAGCAGTTTTGCGATGTATAAAACATAAAATGAATAAAATATACTTTGAACATGAAATAAGGCATAGAAAAACATAAATGTATCCAAAATAACCTACAGATATATCCAGCTGTTCTGCAATCTCTATATTTAAAAAATATATACTTATTTATATTTTAAAAAATCCCCAAATAAACTTTGTTTAGCTTAATCGTTTTAACTTGATTATGAGATTTGAGTCTGGAGATTGTTTGACAAACAAATTGAAATCACATTCAAACTTAATTGGGTCCCTAAATCGACAAATTTATCTTATCTAATATATCTTTACCTAATAACATTTGTTTATTGGTTTATTTGTACTGACAAATTGAACTGCCAGATTTTTTCCACATGACTAATCCCAGTAAAGATATTAACTGTAATAAACCAAATCAAAATATCTGCATTTTGACTGTTAAAACCAAATAATTCTGACCTGCCCTCCCTCCCAATTTTAGATTTAAATGAGCTATTCTGACCTGTCACGTGAACCCAACCTATATTAAATACTTTCTCGTTACTTACAGTGGGTGAGACATCTTCGTCGTACTTCTTGAGCTGGTTCATAAACTCCAGATGTTTCTTCTCCTCCTCCAGTTGGGCCACGCTCTGCTCGCTCTTCTGCAGCTTCTGTTGAGTGTTGGCCAGTTCATCTCTCAGCCACTGGTTCTCCTGACACAGCCTCCGCACCTGAGCACGTAACTTCTGCTTTTCTGACTCCACCGCGTTCAGGTGGTTGGACAGAGCCATCATGACCTGGTGCAGAGACAGAGAAGCCATGGGAGCAGGGTTACAACAGGTTTGGAGATAAAGAAATATACTGAAAGGAGAAGAGGAAGGAAGGACAAGAGGAATGTGGTGGAGTGAATCACAATCACCACCTGGTTTAATATAGAAAGGGGAAACTGTAAAATATGGGACAGCACAGTGTAGTCCTGGTTCTAGTCCAGGTTTAATCCCTGTTTAGTCTCGAAAATGATCTATGGATGAAAATGAGCCATCTCTTACAATAATGTTTGGAGATGCTTTGTTCATTCACCTGCTCCGTGCTCGTTGATAACGACTTAAGCTTAATAGTAGAATAAATTCCCCGTGCTTCAAGCCAGTTCCATCAATTGTAAAATGGCTTCTGGATGGGAGCCGAAATGTCTTGATCGCAAAAACAGTCCAAGAAACCACCAATAAAACCTTATGCAAACCTACATCTTAATGTTTCTTTACTATGTCCCCTCAAATACAGTCTAAAGTAACCTTTCCCCTGCCATGTGCATTGATATTTGTCAGTTTTAATTTGACTGTTTCCATTGTGGATTAAAATAAGAACAAAACTGGATCATAAACCACAACCAGCAGTGGAAAAGGCTCAAATGCAGCTGAACAGTATGAAACTGTGGTTTATATTCTAGCCCCCGCTGTACTGAATATGAGCTCTGACCTGCGCTTCTCCCAGCCCCAGCTCGATCATCTCCACAGACTTGCGCAGCAGACTGGACTTCTCGTGGACCAGGTTGGCCTCCTCATCCTTCTTCAGGCACTTGATGGTCTCCAGGAGGCTGTGCAGGATGGAGTTATGCTCGTTCTTCAGAGCCTCCAGACCCTGGATCACCAGCTTTGTGTTGGAGATGATCTCCTCCTGAGAGAGCTTCTCCAGCTTCTCCTCACGCGGGTACACCATGGTCGACATCTTCTCTGGAGCTCAGGGAAACCTACAATAAAACAGGAAGAGAAGATAAATACCTGCCATATAAAAGTCAATGCTTTCCAAATAAATAAGATCATGTATTTATAGCTTAATAGCCATAGCACTTTTTGAAGACACAATCGATGTTGCTTTACATGCTGTTATTTATTCACTCTCCAAATGTAGTCGTGGTAAACTTAAGATGCTTCTGGAACCACAGCTGTCCCAGGGCGGGCTGACACAGGCCTGTCAGCTGTCTATGCCAGTGATTTCTCTCGTACCACTCATTCATACAGCAAATTCATGGTTTGTTAAATTCCAATGTAAGACAGAAAAAGATCATGCAAATTCTTGATTCCAGACAAACTTCTAAATAGAGACATCAACACAAGCCACAAGACAAAACCCTTTGTACAAGATATAATGTCTATAGCGCCTATTTCTCAAGACCAAAGGAGATTATTAAGATCTGGTGCAAAAACAATTGTGTACAGAAAAGTAACAGAATCTTTATAAGTGAAAAAAGTACATGAAATTATCCAGTCACCCCAGCATTCACGTCATACATTCTGCTTTGAGCTGCTGCACATAAATCCTTAGAAAACTTACAAAATTAACACATAAAAAACGTCTGACTAAGACACTATACACCGGATGATTCATATTGACACAACAGCCATTACAAGCAAATGAACTCATGTTACATCACTGTTCAATACATTAAATGAGCTATGTCAGCATCACTCCCCTGAATGCATCAAAGTGAGAGCCATTCAGTGAGATAAGGGAACACAACACTACAGCTTGTCATTTCTATCTGCTGCGAAAGGCCACATGCAAACTAGGAGCTTTAGCACGCCTACAGTATGCATGGCCGAGCACAGACATTATTCCACAGTTTGAGAGGGACAATAATAGAGCACATTTGTGAGTCAGATTGTGCGTTCACAGCTGCTGCAGAGACGAGCTGCTGCTGCCAGAGCTGCACTGAGAGGGTGATGCCATAGAAACAAGAAACACACCCAGACTGAAATATTGTAAGAAAGAAGGACTGTGGAGTGAAGTCATTGATGTATTATGGCAACATTAAAAAACAGTACAAGTTTGTGGGGGAAAAATTATCATTAGTTTGGGTGCTTTTAATTAAAAAAGCTGTAAACGCATGTGGCAGAGAAGAGGGTGACGCCATAGATGCAAGAAACACACCCAGACTGAAATGTTATATAAGGATGAGCTGTGCTGTGAAGTCATAGATGCATTGTAGCAACGCTGAAAACCGTATTATTTGGAAAAAGAAAGCATAATTTATGTGTTTGGGCTCATCCTTGCGTAGTCCTTTAGTTTAGACCTCGTGTAATTCAGTTGTTTTAGTCTATTTTATTCCTGATTTAGTTCAGTGTGCCATTTCTTCAGTATAGGTGTGGACTTGTGATCCAGTGGTTGTCTTGAGTTTGACTGATCAGTTCTTGAATGGTCCTGGTTTAGATCTGTTCTAGTTTTTGTTTACTTCCTAGTTTCTTCCTCTTCCCATTTTCATCTGGGTTAGACATAGATTTAGTCTCGGTCAGGCTCTGGAATTCTCAGTTCTTAATTGAGATTCAGTACTTTCTGGAGTCTTTTAATCTCAAGATCAAGAGCCAGTCCTCTGTCAGTCAAACCGGTTTGGAGCAGAGATCAGATTTGTTGGAAGATATTTGATTATTTTCTGTGTTAAATTACAAGTCTGAATCATTTATTTTCAGAGAAATTACACAGAAAGCCATTTTACACAAGTTTAAGTCCTGGTTTAGTTCTGACTTGGACTGGAATTATCAAAAGGTATCCAAATATCACAGTGTCTTCTGAAATCTGAACCTACATCTCGCCTTTATGTTATATTTCTAATACTGCAATGGTCAAACAAATTGCAGTGTTATTTTGTTCCACCCAGTCTGGACTTGACCTATGACTCAATGGACCACATCTCCGCGGGCAACGGCTTAAAATGTCACTGCCTTGAAACTGGTGTCGGCCACTGAAATACACAAACATAAGAAACGGGAGCAACGGTAAAAAAAAAAATGAAGAAATTATGAACTATTATACACATAAGCGCCCTCTGAAACATCCAAATCCGTAGCTGCATCGGTGTATGGAGACCAAGCAAGCACACTGCAATATACTGTAGATCTGCTCTTCTGATTGGAGATGTCTGTGTGCAAACAGATGTGGAAACTTACACACAACAACCTGCCATTACAGCACTGACTCACATCCCTTTGACTCCATATTTTCCTGATGGCTTCAATAGCAGCGCTGGTTGAAGGCTGAAGACATTTTCGCAACAAGGACAAAAAGACTATACCATATATTTCCCGTTAAGTAAATGTTCAATGTTACCTTTAAAAATATGTTATGCTTCAACAGCAATTCATTGTTCGGATTAGATCTAAACTGTGCTCTCGGGGCTGTTCCATGGAAGCTACTAACTCAGTAGACCTGGTTTATCTGATTTGGTGATTTGGTTTAGTCTGGCTTACTTTGTCGTTTTTTGTTTCCATTAAAGAGACCCTTCTTAGTAGAGCTGAAACAGGTCTGGATGAGCCCTGACTGAGTTTACATAATAATGAAACTGACCAAAAATCACAATTGGTTTAAAGGTACATCGCATTTTTTGATAGAGTACACGCCACCCACTTGTTACTGATACTGAACATGTTGTTGATATGCTTAGTATGTCCCACAGTATAGCATTAAACTTACTTATCCATTCATAAAAACACACAGGTCCAATCAAAGAGAGGCGACCCCGCTCACACTAAGAATGGCTATTTTTAAGGACATTTTTATAAGGCTGTGCAATTAATTGAATTTTGATTGCGATTTCAATTTGTGCGTCAAACGATTTCCAAACTCATATAATAGAGTTGAAATTTTTTTTTATATATATATAAATATAGTTTATAATTTTAAATATAGAGAATGTAGAACAGCTGGATATATAGCTCATTTTGGATACATTTATGTTTTTCTATGTTTCTCTATTCCTTATTTCATGTTCAAAGTATATTTTATTCATTTTATGTTTTATACATCGCAAAACTGCTCTAAGGTACATATTTGTAGCCTATATTTATGTTCAGTTTGAAAGTTTTGCATAAATTATCAATAACAAAGTGTTTTTTTTGGAGAGAAATGCTGAATAAATGCATAATGCAACTAGAAAATAATTGTTTGAACAATCATGATGAAGATTTTTTCCATAATCGAGCAGCCGTACATTTTTAAGTAATAAATAAATGAACAATAAAATGGTTTAATGTCATACTGTGGAACATTCTTGACAAAGGACATCTCCATAGCGACAAGCAGCTATCATAAAACACTGTGCACCTGTAACTTTTCTTCCTGTAACCCATGGATAACGCACTTTCAAACCGTTAGGACAGATGCCACAGTAATTAACACTTCCAAACAAAACAGTGTGTCTTTTGAATGGTCCATAGTCCTCAAAATGGCACGCTGTAACAGGGAGCTGAATAAGTCATTAAGTGGCACATTTTAGTCATTTGGGCCATATGGGTTTGCTATTCAACCGTAAACTAAACCCATAGAGGGCTTGTTTTCATCCTTTCACACAGAATTGATGAAGGTTTAAAAACAAGCCCAGTCATAATGCATTAGTCAAAGAAGCACATCTCGCTAATTAAACCTGGAACACCTTTAGTAATGGCTACAGTAAGTCTCCTTTCATTTTGTCTAATGGGAATCTCCTTTGACTATTCACCTCTCTCTATTGCACCAAAGCTCTGAGTGTCCTCTTTGATTTCCTCCTTCAGTCTGGTACCTGCTGCAGCCTCTCTCTCCTCTGCAGAAAACACTTTAATGTTCAAGATCAAATACGGCGTACCTCACACACTCTTGAGCGGAGTTAATGTTTTCTGAGAGTTAAAAGGTGAGATAAAGTCCAGCTATGTTTACCTCCAAACACTGGTCTGTTTTAAACTTTAACATTTACTCTCACTATGACTCATAAAAATACACATAACATGCACGCTCAATAACAAATGTAGGGCAGCAAGATTAATCACAGTTGAAACGCAATCTGAACGGACACAACTGAAAAATCAGATGCAATTTTTTTTATCGTAATATTTAGTTAAATATTTTCTATGTATTTTTTTTTTTTATTGTTCAGCCCTAAACAAGTCTTTCTATATTGGTGTATGTTCAAAAGATTTCAATCTTGCTGAGATTAAGAACAGAAACCAATTTACTACCTGCGTATAATCTGATGGTATCACAATTGTATAACTAAAATTGTGAGCCAATATTGAGGAGCTACACTTTTTTAAGGGTTGTGGTCCTGACATATTAGAACCACAACCCCAGTTTGGTTTGAACCATATAAAAATTTGACCAAAATTGGACCAAACCTGGAACCAAACCTGGGACCAAACCTGGGACCAAACCTGGGACTAGACAAAGAGAAAATTTAGAAAATGTTAGGCTTGAAGAGTAGTAAGAATATGCTCCTTTGCTGAGTAATTTAACACAAAATTCAGTTTAAATTAATTTGCAGTACGCTGTCGACTTAATTCAAAATAAATGATACAAGACCAAGAATATTTTAGAGCTCCATGAAGTACACAAAATACAACAGATTTTAATTTAAATGTTTAAGAAAACAAACAACAGTTGAACAATTTGCATCTGACTTTTCCACAAAAGCAACACATCACTGTACTCTCATAAAAGTCCTCTTGTTTAAAGTAGCTGCAAATGTAGATAACTAAATTAGTCCTAAAAAGCAGTGAGCACAGTCTGAAGTAGTATACTGCAATTTTACTGCCATTTTCTTTAGTTATCCTCAAAAAAAGCTCTCACGCAACTACACCAGCCACTTCCTGCCCTGAATCCCTCCATGTATTAATCTTTCATACCTTAATGCTACTTTAGCTGCAGCTTGTTGAACCACACAACCCTCATTGCTCGGCATCCAGATCTGTGGATTAAATTATGTCTCAACCATTCCTGGTGCAGTCATAAAAGGAGACGCTAATCCATAAAAATGAAAAACAGGAAAAAGGAGGAGAGGAGAAATATGGAGATGGGAGCGGCCACAGATGATGTGACCTTCTGAGCACCCCGACAGAGAAGGATAGACTACGAGACTGTCCCGCCCACAGACGCAGACACAGAAAGGGGGAGGTAAAGGAGGAGGGAGGGGGAGAAATAATACGGCTGTAAATTCAGTCAATATTCACATAAAAAGAAAAAATAGAGCTTTGGCTGTTAAGTTAGACACAGAGCAATTAATTTAGAAGATTCTATTATTACTGCAAGATTGAATCAAATCACAATTGCTGCAATTATTAAAGTATCATAATTTTCCCCACAAAGAAGAAAATGTCTTCGTTTTATTCTGCATGAAAATGTCAAACCCTGTCATTTAGTCTGTATAAAATTGTACTGAAATGTGATCCTTGTATTAGTTTATATTTCTGTCTATGTGTCTATTCTTCTGGGAGTATTGAAATCAGGGGTGTGCAAAAATATTAAAATATCAATATATCGTATGGCTTAATGTGATGAATCGATATCGTAAGCTGCTGTATTGATATATCATGAAGAGTATTTTTAGGTATATTTTGCTAAATTAATTTGTGTAAGAGCTGCAGTTGTGCTGACATTTTCACTGTTTTTAGTAAAATGGGTGTTTTTCATATGAACTTAGTGGTTTAACAAAGACTTTTAGTATCAGAGCCATGATTTAGCCTTTCTTTCTCTCTGAACCGTATCGAATTGGTGTGAAATATATCGTATCGAATCATATTGAATCGAAAGTGAGCTGTATCGAAAAGCATATCGTATCGTGGCCTATGTATCGAGGTATGTATTGTATCGACAACTTCTTAATGATACCCAGCCCTAGTTGAAATTGTGGGGGAAAAAAAAGAATTAAACTGATAAACTTATGCAGGAATCCCATGCATTTTAAAACATGTTTGAATAAGTTTAAAAATGTAAACGTAAGCAGTTTTACCTTTTCATTTATTCAGTTTCACTCAGATGGAGGAGAGATGCTGGATTGGATCTTTCTCAGTCAGTTAGCCCGATAATGAGTCTCTGCGGACCAGCCAGTCCTCAGCTCTGTCACCCAGGGAGGCGCACATGACTGGAGTTAAACTATAAAGACTTACTTACACCATAGAGATATAGTAGTGATATGGGGCCATAAAGCTCATGTAAAACATTGTAAACCTAATACAGTGACATGCCCAGCCTCAAATATTTCAGGGTCACAGTTTTCTTAGGGATTAAAAAACCGAAGATAAAACTGGTCATAAATTGAAGCTTCGTGTTTATATGTGACATAAAGTACATTTGCATTGACAAATACGGTGCCAAAGGAGCAAAGGTCAGATAATAATGAAAAAGTCAATAGGACAATGTGGACACATACAGTCAGCCCATGGAACAGTCAATTTGTCCCACAGCTAATTTTCAAGCCTTCCTCTTTTGTTGTATAGTGCTTATGGTAATGTGAATCTTTCCACCTTATAGTTCACTAAAGTCATGACTTGCTATGTTACATGTTTTACTGCAGTGCTTTGTGAGAAAGGACACACAAGACTATTGAAGAAGATTATTGCACAACATTTGACCCATCTCTTTGTATTTTGTGTAATTACTTGACTCTCTGTATCTCTTATTAATTTGTGCATAAAAAATCTGATATTTGCAGAATTTTAGCACAATTAACACTTTCCCTTGTGGATCAGTTAAGTTTAGCTTTGTCTAAGACTGTGTAAAGCATATTGATTTAGTTATAAATACACCTGTTTTTGCACTTTCCCTGTTTATTCTCAGTGTATAATGTATTCACAGCTATAGGAGTTTGAATATGTTGCAACTGTAACTTTTTGTAATGAGAAAATTAAATGAACCATGAGCATTAAGTGACAACATTAAGTGATAAAATGCTTGTATTTTACGGCTGAGGTTGTAATTTCTCCTCAAGTGACACTTTGTGCTGACAGGATCAAATACCTGAGAGTTGTAATCTGCCCACTAAAGCACTTTGACACACAAACTCAATACTTCAGTGATCCATTTCGATCATAAACACGCTGCATTACAAGCTCTGGTGTCAAAAACAACATTTATACAGAGAGAATTTATACATGTATACAGAGAATACATAACTTGATGTGCATGAGTTATAATACATGGCTGGGACTTGTTAGAACCATTAATATATACAGTATTTAGTGGACCAAATATAATATGGGCCTTAGTCATAGTCAGGTTTTGGCCAATTTTTCAAAAGATACTGACACACATTTCCTTCCTATTCCCACAGTGAAGCATGACACCGGTGGATCGCATCCTCCTGGACCATTTCCTGAGCAGATAGGCATCCATACCCTCCTCTCTCTCTCTCTCTATGTCTCGCTCTCTGTGTCTCTCTGTCCCTCTCTCCTCCATCTCTGTTTCCATCTCTCTCCCTCTCTCTGCACTGATGTAAAAAAACAGCAGAGGCAGCGGATAAAGAGGGTGTGGCACAGAACAACACTGACACTGTCCACTGCCATCAATCACCTCTGACCAGCTGCTCCACAGTCTCAGGAGGAAGAGACACGGAAGGGGAAAACTAATAGCAAATAATTCATTAATAAGACATGTTTACAGTCCAGATCCCATGAGACTCAGTGTAAGAGAACTACTGACAGTACTACAAATGGCTTATATGTGTTTTCAAATTGCATCTCTCTTTGAATGCCCCAATGTATTCATCCTTGAACTGTTGAATAATTTTGATACAGGCTACATGATTAAAGTATCCTATATTAGATGCTGCCTGTGATCTGTATTTGATCAATTACTTCTATGACTTTGATAAAATCCTTCTATAAGCCTGAGCCTCAAAACCTTTTTTTAAACTACACAATAGTATGTAATATGGATTTCACAAAATTCACAAAATATTCAGTTTCTAAATATACTAAAACAAAAAAAGGCCAAACATTACTATCATAACTATTACTACTAAGACTTTTCTGAGCTATAGTCAGACTACTGAATACTAATATGTGAAAGCAGCAAACAAAAACATGACAAAATAACATCAAAACAAGATTCCCTCCTTCAGAATTGAGATAAGTCAAATAAATGCATGAAAGAGCTAAGACCTGTTTGTGAACAGGAAGAATCAATAATAAATTGATTCTCTATAGTCTGATTGGATTCATTAGGCAAAGTATACATTGAATCTTGATCGCTAAAATTGCTTAAATCTAAAAGGCAGAAAACGAGACAGCAGCCCATCTGAGTAGGGTTGTGCAAAAAAGTTCTCACAATAACATCGTGGACCATCACAATATATTGAATTACAAGTCTCTTTGCTTAAATTAAGACTTATGGTGCAGCAATAGCTAAAATAAAGACAGACGGAACTACATAGACCATGATCCTTTGCTCCATTTTTGTGTAGACTACATGAAGAAATAACGGTTCTAAGCACTTTTAAGTCTTAGTTCTTTGGATTAAGTCTTGTTAAAGCATTTTAAGAGGAAAAAGTAGCATATTAACAGTTTTGTTAACCTCTACAAAATATTTCAGTAAATATCGTACAGTGAGATATATATTGTGAAAATATCGTACCAAGGATATTTGGATATTGTTACATCCCTAATTGTGAGACGCCACCGTATGATGAGCTTTTCCACGATATCGTAATAAATATTGTACCTTGAGGTTCATACCGTGACGAAATCGTATCGTGAGACTTGGATATCCTTACATTCCTAATATACAGCACTGATATCGTGGGCTGCTGTATCGATACATTGCCAGGAATATTTTTAGGTATATTTTACTAAATTATTTTATGTAAGAGCTACAAGTGTGTTAAAATTTTCACTATTTTGAGTAAAATGGGATGTTTTCATATTAACTCTGCGCAAACTTTGTGGACAAAGCCATGATTTACCCTTTGTTTTTCACTGAATCATATCAAATCGAATTAAAATATATCGTACTGAATCAAAAACGCACTGTATCGAAAATCGTATTGTATCGTGGCCTATGTATTAAAGCATGTATTGTATCGGCAACTTCTAAATGATACCCAGCCCTACATTTGAGGTTTGGATAAACACTAAATTATAGTATATGAAAGCAGAAAATGCACAAGAGGGCAATGCATCTGCAAGACAAGATTATGTCCTTTGGAAATACTAAGACACCCACGATATAAATGCATAATAATAACAATAATTGGTAAACATCTTTTTGGGAATAGGAATAAGTGAATTGCATCTTTGTAATAACTTTTGAGCGAAACTAAAACAAAATCCAGTGAGAAAACCCAACAGCAGCCCATCTGAGGTTGGACATTTAACATGATTACACTGTTATGACTCGTAATTACAGACCGACGCTGCCAATTAGCCTCATTTCCACTGTCCAAATCAGATGCGTCACTCCTATTTTAGCCAACAAATCTGCACCAAACCATTTAACCAAACTGATCTCGTTTTATCCGGCGTTTTAACATTTTTAGAGTCATTTTTGTGAGATTTCGCTTTGCCGTCTGAGGGAGACTAGCATTAGCCCGATCGATGCTAACCTCACCACTCCCTGTACTTCATCAGGGTTTATTTACGCCCAACAAACAAATCCGAGCGTCGCAACAGACGTGTCAATATCAGACAGGTTTCTTTACGAGGATATCTCAGAAAATGTGGTAAAAAAGCAGCTTTAAGAGGCTAAAATCCGCACGCTTACCGAGAGCTGCCTCCTGCGTCCAGCTCCGCCGCTTTGATCCAAAATGTCTGAAGGATTTCCCACAATCCACCGCGCGTCAGTCCAAAATGATGACGTGATGTTTTGTTTTTGTATAGATTTTTTCCCCGGTTTTTAGAGATATTAACAAAAAATATATACCTGAATCCATCTATTCAACATCACCAAGATTTTCACAATTTAATTCCTAGTGTAATTAAAATGAATTTGCTTTCAGAAAGTCCATTGTAGGGTGCAATACACATTTCTCACTCAATGACTTGATGTGTAATTGTATGTATGGTATTATTACTTATTAAAAGTGCTTAAATACGCTTAAAATTAACTTACAAATTTCAGAAGTACAAATATTTGGATGGAGAGGATCATCTGCTGGCCAGCCAATGTATTACAACTCAACTTTTTATGTTTAACTGCTTTTAATTTTATAAAATATATCAAATATACTACAACCATTATATAGCTTTACTAATGTCTCTGAAACTAAATTTCTTACTGAAAAACAGAGAAAATAAAAATACGATATAATTACGTCATCGGCATGCGACGCGGCGTGCAGTGCCGTGAAGGACGCTGATAAGTAAAGTTGGGATGAATTAAGCCAAAATTTAGGTAATCGTATTAAATATTTAGATAAATAATGATTTTTTATGATGATAAATTGTTTATGGGCAAAATTTAGGCTAGACTTTGTATGTTTAGCTTGTTTGTTACCCAATAATCAGCTTGTTGCTAGTTGCTCGTGGGTATTTGACATTACAGACTTTACAAACTGCATATTTGATTATTCTTAAATTTGTACAATTACTTTATTTCTGACATTTTAGGATTGAGCGATGTCGGTGTCGTGTCTGACTCGAGCTCTTCGCTCCTTGACAGTGTCCCAGTCTCCTCTGGTCTCCTCGCAGGTTCAGAACTGTCATAGAAATGCGTTTATGGGGCAAAAACGTCCGATGCTAATATATATTTTGTTTACTGACATTACAGATTCTTACACAGGCTAAAGCTGGAGGTCAGTTATTAAACCTGGAACAATGCAGAAGCTTTCAGACCACAGCTGCACTGGAGCAGAACAGGACCCACTGGAAACGGATGGAGAAGTACACGATCAGACCGATTGGGATGAAGAAAACCGGGGGCAGAGACCACACAGGTAATAACACAATAATGAATAATAATAACATAGTATAGTTGAGCTGGTGTATGTATTTTTGTAATATTATGTATTTGTTATGCATCCAAAACCCACAAATGTTAAACGTAATCATATGTTGTGTAGTGACAAAATAAATTCCAGGTTATAACTAAAATAGTGTCTACACAAGACTAGACTTTTTTATTCTGTATATGTAGTTTCAATGCAAAATATCTGCCTTTTCCACGTGCTGTCAAATACAGTATGTAAAAAATATTATTGTTCAATGTTAGATGATTATTTGTGTCATACAATTATGTTCTGTATAAAATCAGGAAAGGTACGGACACATGGCATCGGCGGTGGGCACAAACAGAGATACCGGTGTGTAGACTTCCAGCGACTGAGATATGAACCAACCAAAGAAGATAAACCGTTTGAAGAAAAAGTCGTCCAAGTGAGATACGACCCCTGCAGGTGAGAAACTGGGATGGTCTTACCTGATCTACTTGAACTTGGAAATACTGGTCTCTTGTTCAGCCTTCTGGTGTAGTCCTTCTTAAGACCAGATTCTGTCCTGCATTCGCTCTGATTTAGAACTTGTCAGTTTATACAATTTAGTACTATATATTTTCTATGGTACTCTTGCTTTTGGCATCTGTACACAATGGGCTGTCTGCATAAATGAATACCCCACAATTTATTGTTAAGCTTTTCTCTCTTGACAGATCAGCAGACATCGCTCTTGTGGCTGGAGGTAATAGAAAAAGGTGGATCATTGCTACAGAGAACATGCAGGTTGGGAACATCATCAAGACCTCTGGAGTCATTGGACGCATGGCAGGTAAAACAGAAACTTATTTAGAAAGCTGGAGTATCGGCTGTGTGACTTGTACAATAGTGTTCATATTGCAATACATATTATTATTTTATTTTGTTTTTTTACAGTTTCTGCAAATGAAGGAGATGCTTACCCTCTAGGAGCGCTTCCTGTGGGGTCTCTGATCCACAACCTCGAAATAAAACCAGGCAGAGGAGCGCAGTATATCCGTGCAGCAGGTAAATTTTGAATTAGTTTTATTTGGTATAAAGTGCCAATGTATCTCTCCTTATACCAAATGTCCAAGCATATGATCCTAGGCATTTTCACACAGTAATTATAGTTGTTGGTATGTAGTAGGTAGTAGCTAGGTTATAGGTAATGTAGTTTCATTTGTATTCGCTGTCACTGCATTCTTATCATTCCCTACAAATTTATTTATGTTGCCTTTGTTTTTAGGCACAAGTGGTGTCCTACTGCGCAAAGTCAATGGAACAGCAATTGTGCAACTTCCCTCAAAGCAACAAGTTCAGGTGAGCCTCTCTTGGAAAACTTAAAGGTGTAATTTTTCTGGTTAAGTGCCCGCCACATGCTGGTCTCCATGGAGATATGACATCTCTGACTGAAATGTTCTACTGTATGCCATTAAACATATCTATCTTTAGGAAACAAGCAATAATAATTTATTTTGTATTTCTTAACAGGTTGACGAGACCTGCATGGTCACAGTGGGGCGAGTGTCCAACATCGACCACAATAAAGAAATCATTGGAAAAGCAGGTCGTAATCGCTGGTTCGGGGTCCGTCCTTCAAGCGGTTTATGGCAAAGAAAAGGAGGCTGGGCCGGACGCAAGATCAAACCTCTGCCTCCCATGAAAAGTTACGTCAATTTACCGTCAATAGCTGCTAAGTAACACTGGACTGGTTACTTCCAACAGCTTTACTAATGATGAAATGTACTGTACAGTATGAGGAAAAACATATTGAATATTAGACAATAAGACAATATGGCTGTATATGGATGTTGTTTTTGTTTAATTAAATAAAAATATAACTAAACTCTGTTGTAATGGGTAAGAATTGCATCAAAATTCAAAGGAAAGACTACAATAAGAGTAAACCAAAGCTAAACAGTTAAAGTAATCATTTACAATTTTGTATTAATTATGGAGTGATTATTTTCAGTGTAAAATATATATACCTAAAAAGTAGAGAAACAATATATATAGCATTGTTTTAATAATAATTAGTGAACTATGCTGTGGATCTATAAAATACATACAATTATGAATATTGGCGTACAAATAAAGACCATTCTTTGTACAGAAGATTAAAAATTTTATTTAACACAACTGCTTGTGAGCATGGAAAGAAACAAACAATATAAAAATCCAAAACATATTTACATCTATAGTAAAACATGCAGAGGAACCCATATTTTTAGTGGTAACTTTAAAAATACTGTCATGTTTTTAAAAGAGGGTTTGTGCAAAGACAATGGGTGGTATTTCAAGTAACAGGAGCATTGAGATGGCATGTCTCATCATCATGGAGGATTTTTTGCTGCTTTTGAGACTTAGGTCAGAGGCTCCCAAACTGTGGAACAAGTATATTACAGTTTAACCATGTGCAGGGACATTTAGTTTCTGAGGTAAAATTCCCATACATTTTTTTACGCAACGTTTGTTGGAAGTAATCTGATCTGTTGTAACTCATGAGCATAAAACATAATAAAAATACTTGTGATACATAAGCCACAAAGTTATAATTACATCTTGCTGTACTTTTAGTTATTTTGTATTCATGTATTTATTCAATATAATTGAGTTATGGACATTAATTACCACAAATATTTCAAAATATTTTTCCAAATTAATGGGACATTTGTTGATCACCACCTGTTTATTTGTGGTATGCAGGATTTTTCTTATAGTATTTATTTAGATGAAGTCCTGCTTTACCCAACCAATTTCTCTCCCATTTTTACCTTAGTTCATACTGGTTTAAACGTATACCATTTAAAAGCAAATTAAGAGATAATTACTGATAGTTTAAGTTTGAAAACCTCTGATTTAATCAAAGTTATCATGCCCGCTCATTGGTCCAGCTTGTAAAGTACCCCCATGCTACGTCTAGATTCAGGGCAAAAAGGTTGTGAGTTCAAATACGATGAAATAATCTTCCATTTTAGTTCGAAAAAGGCTAAATTGCATGTCTACCAAGTTAATTCCCTCAAATAATTCTGCATTGGCTAATACTTAACAACCTAGGCAGCTACAACACAGGCAGACACACATGGTAGTAGCTGCTATGAGTGGCAAAAATAATAATGTAACAGGTTCTTCCATACACCTCAATAGGCAAATGCAGCCAATACAGTCAATAATAATAACTAAGAAAATGACCACACGGGTTTCTCTAGTCTATAGGTAGTGGTTCTTTCAAATATAACACCTCAAAATCAAAAGCAATGTCCCAATTTGAGATAAAAATGTATTTAAACCACATCAAAGTGCATTATAAAAGAGGGAAATGTATGAGAAATGACTACTATAGTGTTTGCATTGTAGGACTTCATAGAAACAAGGGGAAATATTTGGCATTTAAATGAAAGGGACGGTGCAGTGTTTTGTAAAAAAGAAAAAAAAAAAAGGTTTCTAATAGATACATACATTCTGTTCATTTAAAATAACCTCAAGATAGGACAAAATTTGAGTTTTGCAAGTTAGATTTGGGGCAGCAGTGGCTTGGTAGATAATCCAATTTGCTGGAATATTGGCAGTGCGATTCCGAATGGCAGCCACTTCCCCATAAACTGACCCGGGGCAACTGTAGCTCACTACAACAAAGAATACATGCCCCTAATTTGTTAATTTGCGTGCTAAAAGTAGACTACGTAACTTTTCTTGTGGAGCGGCAGCTAGATGCTTGCCTCATGTCCACAGAGACGGTATTGCTTTGCCTAAGTTTGCTTAAGTTTGCTTTTAATTTATCAATCTCCATGAAGACAAAGATGTGATTATAGTATTTTTTTTTACAATACAAATGCCTGTAACTGAATAAAGGCAAACTAGATCAGTGTCGTGGGGGTGTAACAATATCCAAGTCTCACGATAAGATATCGTCACGGTAAGAACCTCACAAGACGATATTTATTGCGATATCGTGGGAAAGCTCACGATATGGTGGAGAGGCTCAAGATTAGGGATGTAACAATATCCAATCATACAACAATAATAGCCTTGACAAGACTTAATCCAAAGAACTAAGACTTAAAAGTCCTTAGAACTGTTATTTCTTCTTGTAGTCTACACTGAAATGGAGCAAAGGATCATGGTCTATGTAGTTCCCTCTGTCTTTTTTTAGCTATTGCTGCACCATAACTCTTAATTTAAGCAAAGACACTTGTAATTCGATATATTGTGATGGTCCACGATATTATTGTGAGAACTCTGATGATACGATATCACGATATTTCGGTTATTATTACATCCCTAGAGTCATGCCATACTGTGGAACATACAAGGCAAATCAGTAAGAAAAGCTCCTTAGTGTACCTTTGCTTGCATTAATAGCAACCTATGAAGTTCCCATTATACCATGGGATATCCACAAGTATTAATATTTTTCTTTTACAAAACACTGGACCGTCTCTTCAAGAAATAAAGTAAGCTATTTGTGCTTTAACTTTAGTGGCAATAGGGGGATTTGCAATTCACAATATTACTTCTTGTATAATCTTATATACAATACTAAAAAAGCCAGCCTATCAAAGCTCTTCACTTTATATAAAAAGCAACAACAAACTTATACAGAAAGGCCCTTTGTCGAAAGGTTTTTCCTATTGCAAAAAGTTTAACACTATTTTATCAGGGAGTACCATCAACACTGAGCACACCAACACAGACACACATAGGCAGTGACTTGGACAAGTGGCAAAACTCATACAACAAATTTAAACTCATTACTTTTGCATTGTACAAAAACTCATTCAAGCGTTCCTACTAACAATACTGAGATAAGTACTGCACGTTTCAAGTTAGAATTATTCATCAAAATGTGGTTAAAAAGATAGAATACGATGCTTGTTTAGGATGTGCGTACTTTAAGTTACTGCTAATCAGAGGTGGGTAGTAATTAAAATGTACTTGAGACACTTCTTGACTTTTAAATGGTACGTTCAAGAATATTTTGACCATAATAATGATTAAAGCTGCTATTTGTGTGGTGTTTTTTAATAAATTGTAATACATTTTGGAG